TCAACAGAGTGGGTAAACCTAAGGGATCTAGGAAATAGAAATGTGGTGTGGAGGGCACCAGCAATCTCATGAGGGTTGGTTAAATAATAAAGTATTTTCCAATAAAAGATAATTTTTTCCATGCTATTTCAAGGGCTAATAAGCAGAGGAAGTGGAGAGAATAGATTCTGCTGTTGCATGCTTGTGTATGATCAGGCCACCAAATTCAAAACACATGAGTTTTGAAAAAGTCCACAACTTCAGCCTTATAAAATGGGTTCTTTTCCCTGATTCTTGCCTGTGATCAGATAATGACCTTCGTAAGCAAAACAACCCCAGCTGTATTTCATAATGGGAATATACTTCTGTACATTGTAATGAGCTGTTAACAGGGAACAGTATCGTGTGAAAATCTGCACATTTCCCATGATGCTGCCCTGATTCAAAAGCCACACATAAGTTATTTGGTATTGCAGATTTCAAGGTCAGGATTGGCCACATAAGATCTAGTTTTTCACCTCCAAAAACCAATGTTTTTAGCAGGCTGGAATTTAAAATAGAAAAGGCTGATCCGTTGGGAATCTCAGGAGTTGTGAGAAGTACCTTGGCACCTGTGTCAGGTACTTGAAAGTGTACGGTTGGGGTGGGTGACTGGAGTGATGAAAGGGAAAATAACACCTTTGCTCATCCAAAACTCCTCCTTGTGAGGCTCCTGAAGGAAGGCATCCTGAGCTTTGCAAGCAGTTGTGAGCTGGTGAAATTCGCTGGGTTTTGGGAGGTTTCTAGCAGAGCCAAGAGCTGTTTTCACTGCTAGGATGAGTTCCCAGGGTTCCTTTCCTGATGCCAAGCAGCACATGGACACATGGCTGGGGCTCCAGAGTCATTTGTGCACTGAGACACTTTTTCTGCTGGATGTGAATACTTGATTATTAAGCATATATTACAATTCTGATTATTATTTTAGCTGTAAGTTTAGTCTCCATCCTCTCCAGCTTTTTAGGTTTGATCGTATTCCAGAGGCTTACTAAAAACATGCAAAGAATTTCAGTGAAACTCTCTGGAACACTTCTTGTTAAATTCTTTCAGTCATGCAAGCTAAATTAAATGACAGCTCTGTCCACCAAAAGATTACAAATATCAATCAGACTTCTCCCCTAAACTCATGAAGGAATTAAATGTTTTTCTAAAAGTCTTCGATTCCCCTTAATAATCTCTTTGGCTGTTCTCTTTACTTTACATATTTTTGAAGTGTGTTGAAAGGGATGATTTTTGCCCTAAAGGAGCACAGTGCTTGTAGCTTGCTGACAGTATTTAATCTGAATTTGTGGGCACAATTTTGGGTATTGCTCAAATTGATATTTGCAATACTGCGGGCTTATTTCCAAAAGGAGAAAACAGCTATTAAACTGCAGTCCAAGAAACATGATGCTGAGCTCTTTTCAGAGATGGGAGATTAATGATAAAAAAGTATGTTGCAGCTCCAACTGTTTATGTTAAAATTGGAAAAATAGGACCAGGTGGGCTGGTGGGATGGGGAGCTCTGAGTAAAGTGGTTGTAAAGAATGAGGAGTTAAAAAGATTTCAGCATACAGTGGCTTGTCCAAGACAAGCTGAGTCATTACCCCGTGTTGCTGCATCTGTTTTTGTCTGGTCACTGTACAGTTATGAACAATTGTGTAAATCACGCTGGGATGCCCTGGGGAGCTTTCTTAGCAGGCAGGCTCAGCACACCGTTCCCATCTGCCCTGTGTTTTAAGGCCACAAGACAAGCCAAACAACAAAGATGGACATGGGAACCAGATGTGACTGCCTGTGTCCCTCGGAGTCCCTCCTGCCCGTGCCCACCCTGCCCACCCAGAGGGTCATGGTTTGAAAGGGATGAGGTTGGAAATAAAACTGGTGGATACCGGATCTGTTAGAGCTTGTAGTGAGGAGCAGAGGGAGTTTCTTTCCGTGGTGCTTGTGTGGATGGGGGAGGAAAACCCCGCAGCCCCCTCGGAGGTGTGGGGATGTGTGTGTCTGGCCTCCCACAAAGAGTGTTCCAGCCTACATCAGCTACGTTAAAGTGCATTTTGCCATTATGGTTTAACAGAGAAGAGCAGATATGACAGTAAACTCTTACAGCTGGATGAGTTGTGATTAAGTTAAAGCTATCTCACTGTTACATACTACTTTAGTGATCACCAGAATGTGTATTTTCCTGCCTCTTACCATGTGCTTTAAACCACAAGACATGAATAAACTGTAATGTTAGGGTGCAGTCAGCTCTGCTTGCTATTTAAGGATGGGGAATCTATGTTCAGTACACCAAATATAATTTCATAAAGCATGCAAACCATCAGGGAGGTTGTGGAATGGTTGATGAGTGGGACTAGGGCTGCTGCTCTGGATGAAGATGAGACATCCAACAGCATTCCTGGGTCTGGATATACCATTGGAGTGGAGTGGGATTCCCACCCCATGCCTGGTCTCCTGCTAACTCTTGCATTAGGTTTTGTGTCATGGGCTCTAGTTCTCCCACAGGCAGCAGCAAAATTTAATTGAACCTCTCTATAGTTATCAGCAGCTGGGGAGGGCGTGCCTGAGGATGGAGCTTTTCTCCTGGCAAAGGAAAGAGCAGTGTGGCAAAGGGATGTCACGTTGACTTGATCCAAAGTTGGGGCCCACGTGATGTTTCTCAGAAAGTTCCTGTTTTATTGTGGCTACAAAGGCATAGAAATTAAGCTGCTAATTTAATGGCATGCCAAGGAAAAAAGTAGTACTACAAGAAATGCTCAGTTATTTTAATGTTTGAAAATGCACAATTGAAAAATCCTGATCTTCCCTTGCCTCCCACTGAGCTTATTAAATCTGAAAATATCCCAAAGCTTAATTCTCTCTGCCAGAAAGTTCCTCTGCTCTTTTGGGTAAGTCATGAAAGTTGTGCCGCATGGGCTGCGTGGTGGGGTCCCGTCTGGCTTGCTCTGGTCCTGGGAGGCAGAGGAGTGAGGATCCCACAGGGGCAGGGATGATCCCACAGGGGCAGCGAGGATCCCACAGGGCAGGGAGGATCCCACAGGACAGTGAGGATCCCACAGGGGCAGTGAGGATCCCACAGGGGCAGTGAGGATCTCACAGGGGCAGGGATGATCCCACAGGGGGAGTGAGGATCCCACAGGGGCAGTGAGGATCCCACAGGGCAGTGAGGATCCCACAGGGCAGCGAGGATCCCACAGGGCGAGTAAGGATTCCACAGGGGCAGGGAGGATCCCATCCTGCTGCTGAGCAGTCGTGGCCCCTTCCAGCACGATGGGTTTGCGTTTTGGCAGTGGTGCACTGGCTCTGGGCTGGTGTGTGCTGATTTAGCTGCTGTGCATGGCAGAGCCTCCTTCCACCTCAGCTGAGGGCTGCTGTTGGCTGGGGCTTTGTTTGGAGGAGCAAAGTGCAAGTGATGGTGTAAAGGCTTGGCTGGTTGGCATGTTTGGTTCCTGTGCTACCCCCAGCACTGCACTTGCCTTTTTGTTTGTTATTTTTTTGTGGTTGCACCATATTCTGGGAGAAGCCTGCAAATGTCTAAACAAAGTAAAATTCCTGAAAAGTGAACTTAACCAGCCTGAGCCAAAGCCTGCTGGAGGCCATGAAAGCACATCCCCTGAGTTTTGAGATGAGCTGCTTTTTGCTGCCTGCCATGGGGTGGGACTCAGCCAGCCTGGTTCTCACAGCAGACAGGCTTTGGCCCATGCCAGGGACAGCTCTGCTGCAGCTGGGGAACCCCAAGGGGTCTCACATGGAGCCATTTGTTTTTCATTATGTTATGCTCCTCTAATATAAACACTAAGGTATGTGGACATTACTGTGGACAGGGCGAGCCAGATGCCAAAGGCATTCATCCAATGCTGTATAAACTTCAGGAGATAAATATTTTAAAAACTGTTTTCTGAGGCTAGCATAATAGTTTAAAAATACAACCTAGATTCCAGATATTAAAAAATGCCTTGCAAGGCATGCATATTGCTGCAAGAGATGGAACTAACCAAACCCCTGAAGCATGTGGAAAGCTCCCATTTTGCAATATCTTCTCTGTTACTTTATCCTTTTCTTTTTTTTTTTTTTTCCTTAGCACTGAGATTAAATTCAAGAAGCTTTTAACAGCAGAGTGGCAGTGATAGAAATTTTCAGCATATATTAACTAGCTGACTCACACTTTTTCAAAGGGGATCTGGGTTTATGATGGAGTAGCTGGCTGCTTTCAGCAACAGCAAAATCAGGAAAGTCAGCTAAGAGAGGAAGCTGATAGTTTATAATGTGTCTAATCCCTCTGTGTGCTGAGATGGGAGGGTGGGGAGCTGCCACCCATGTTTGGAAAGTGGTCCTGACCTCGTGCTCAGGGGAAGCATTCAAGTCCCTGTCTCAGGGATCTGCAAACTCTCACTGTTACTTAGGACCCAGCTTTAAAACATCCTTTAAAAGATGCTTTCATTAAAAGATGCTTTCTTTGCGTCACTTGGCTACCCCAAAAACTTTCACTAGCATCCTCTGTGCTTCAAGAGTGAGAAATGAGATTTTTAGGTTATGTTTGTGGGGCCCATACAGACCTGAGAGATCTGCCATTTCCTTTCATGTGTTACATCTAAAATGGGAGAGAGGGGGGTCCCTGAAAGTAGTGACATTCCCTGAACAGAGGCTCCTCTTGCTACTGTTTTTCCCCTGTCTGGCCTACCTTTGGACCTGTGTTTTGTAGCTGACCCCAGAGCTTTGGTGACACTGGGGTCTTGCTGGGCTCATGTGATTCTTGCTGGGCAGAAGCTGAAGGGCAGAATGACTCAATGTGGGTTTGCCTCCTCCTTTTGTTTCTTCCACTGAAGTTTTTTATGCAGCTTTGTTCACCAATGAGCCTGAGCTCCTCGGTGCTTTGGCACAAGGAGTGTGCTGGGGTCTGGTCCCACTGTCCTGGCCCCACTGAGTGTTGTCCCACCCGGGTCACCCGCTCCCCAGCGAGTGAGGTGGAGCAGCAGAGTGACTGTGGCCCTCTTGTCTTTCAGCTGCTCAGAGGGATGACTTTGCCCCGTCGAAAAGCTCCAGGAAAAGCCACAGAGGAGGAGGAGGAGAGCGGAGACTGCGACGATGAAGATGAGTGCGGCGGAGGCTCTGGGGACGGAGAGCTGCGAGTGAGGAACCAGCTCCGGTTCTTAGCAGGTGATGGGGATGTGGCACTGCAGCAGCTGCCCCTCTGTGGGGTGCAGGTTTAGGTGCTGGCGTGGGGAGCTGCTCCCTGCTCAGGTGGACTCTCTGCAGGCACCCCCAGTGCCACAGCCCAGAGCTGCAGACACCCAGAATTGCACTGGCTGGCCGTGGTGCCAGTCAGGGCAGCAGCTGGAGAAATGCCTCTGCTTTTCCAGGCTGGTTCTGTAGGGGTGTACTGAGTGCAGCCCGCTGGAGAGGATTTGAGGCAAGTTGAAATCTGATGTAGATGCCAGGGTCACCCTCTTCTCTCCTTCTCACTGCTGCCTGCAATCTTGAGATTCGAGATGGTTTCTCATCTTCCTGGAGGGCACCAGAAAGTCAGGAAGGCTTGTTTGACTGGTTATGATGGTTATTTCTGATGTAGGGTTTAGAAACCCCCAATGATTTTTTTGCAGATACCTCGGGCTCATTTTGCAGAAGTGATTTAGGTACTTGGGAGCCTAAAAATTGCTTTGCTTGCCAGTGTGAGTCGTGTCCTTGGTTACTCTGAAAACAGCCCTGAGGCACTCCTGATGTTATTAATGAGGCAGCCCCTGGTCACTCACTGGGAGAAGAGAGCAAAGGACCAGTTGTGACTTGGGCAGTCACACGTGCTGCTGGTGTGGGCCTTCTCCTACACCCCCTGACCACTCTGGAGCTCAGCAGCATCACCTGGTTTGCTTGTGTGAGAAGCCCAAGCTGTTGGAGGCTGTGTCCAGCAAGGATGAACAGTGCTGGATGTTCTCTGTAGGCTGGAGGTTTGGCCCAGTTCATACTGGTTCCAGTGCTACACGGTGCTCTTTGAGAGACCAGACAACTGAACCTGGATAAAATCAGCTTTGCAGCTTTGAAGTTTAAAAGGCAAATTTGGGCTCCTAAACGAAGCACAGATGTTTATAAATTCCCTCCTATTGGTCTGGGATAATTAAAATATCCTTAATGAAGTGAGAGCTGAAATATTAAATGCCAGTCTCATATCAAAGATTATTGACACATTATGTAAAATGCATAAAATACATATATTCAGATACTAAGTAAGGGAAAGAAAAGACTTTTCAAGTCCTGCACTCCAAGTCTGAAAGAGAAACTTAGAATTTTGAGAGGGATAAAGCACAATTTCATCCAAGAACTAAATAACAAAGTTTATGTTAAAAAAATACAGGTGATTCACAGTGTCCTGTGCTGAGAGCAGAGATACGTGTTTCATTTTCCATGATCTTTGTGTCACACCTTGATGTTATTTTTAATGTGTTTCTAATTTCCTCTTAAAGCCTTCCCCACACTATCATCAGTGATCTCTGAAGTCAGATATATGATCCTTTCTGCCTTATTGTGCCTCTCTGGGCTAGTTTAATCACTGTATTGATCTCCCTGGTAACTTGCCCCCCTTGTCACTGTGGTACAGGAACATGCAGCAGGAAAGGAGGATTTGTCCTCCCCTGCTGCTCTGCTGGAGGGTATTTGTTGCTGCCTTTGCTATGGGATGGGTAAATATTAACTTTAAAGCATTTGTGTCTCTGGGGCATGGGGCTCCTGGCAGGTAAAATTTTTCAGGTTGCTGAGAGTGTGGAGTTTGTCCAGCAGGGCTTTAAGGCACTGACTGAGCTTAGAGACCATGAGCTGTGCCGTCAGGGAGACTTTCTTCCTTACTTGCCTATGCTCTTTTTTTGTGTTTTGCTTTAGAGCAGAGAGGTGAAGCTGATATGACAGTGACAGAATCCTATTTGGTTGGTATTGGATATAAAGTGTGACTCTGTTCAAGTAAGTTTTATGTTGGAAACCAGCCCAGGAAAAGTTGCTGATGGTGTGGAAATACTCACTTTCAACATTTTTGAGAATGATATTTCTTTTTACTTTGAAAGGGTATTTTTCAATTAATTTTTTCCATCATATCACATGTACATAGCAAGAAATAAAAGGGACCAGAAACCATTCCACATTCCCCCCCAACTTCCACAAATTCTAAATTTTAGGGTAGCATGTCGATTTGAAATTATGCCAGGATTTGAAATCTGGAAATAATTTACAAAATGAGCTTTTACATTTAATGTGGCTTTATCTCTCTCTTTCCCAAGGTGGTTACCCTGTAATAAAGGCAGAAGGGACTGGGAGTGTCTGGGTTGTGTTTCTGAGCCCCTGGTTTCATCCCCTGCGGGATGCTCTGCAGTGTTAAGGTGGGACATGGATGGCAGGCTGTGTTGCAGTGCAGTGGTCAAACCCAGACCCCCATCTGAGCATGTTTGAGTCCTTCTGTTGACCCTCGAGGTCTGCAGTCAGGGGCACAGTTCGGGGCTTTCCCTCCTTTTCTCAGGTGCTTTGTTCAGGAAAATGTTGAGGAATTGTTCCTCCTTCGTTGAGGAAATTGGCAATGGAGAACTCCTCCCTTCCAAAGGGTTTCCCAAGCCTTGCAGATGGAGTTGGTGATGCTTTGAGGAGGAGGAGAGGTGAGTGCCTTGTGCTGGCACCGATTTTGGCTGTTGGTTGAGTGAAAACTTGGCAGAGTTTGCCACCTCTGAGGTCTTTTCACCTCTCTGAGGTAGTAGGATTTTCTCCTGCTCCCCGGTGTGGGTGCCACTGGTCCTGCCAGCTAACTGCAAACATCTGCTGAGCACTGGCCTCACCAAGATGTCCCCTCAGAAGGTCTTGAAAATAAGGAGATAAAAAAAGAGCAAAAGAGGGGAAAAAAAAAAAGTCAGTCTAAAATACAGACTAGTTTTGATTTATCGCCTGTTGTATAAAATGTAACCTTTGTTTCCTATTTATAATGAGCCTGTAGTAACTGGACAGTCAACCTAAACTTTAATGATTTAAACATACTTGTAAACTGTCAAGTCAATAGTTTGTGAGTGACTATAAACATATGTTGGTGAGCCCTATATGCTAATAAATTCATTATTATGTTGCCCCAGTGGGAAACACGGAGATGGCAGGCTTTTTTTCATGATAGGTCTTTTATTGTTTGTCACATCTGCAACACATTAAGGGTTTTGAAGGCAGATGATGTTTACAATAAGGGGGAGGGCTGAAAACCTCCCAGCTCAGAGAAGAGTGCATCCTGTTTGTCAATGGAGTACCCATGGAGCCGGCACCCTGGCCATGCAGCTCTAAAAATAGAGCTCTGTACATACACACACAGATATTTATGCCACTCCGATGGCAAAGCATGTCTGCAAATGAATTACAGTATTTCCCCCCAAATTATGAGTCAGTGCAAATGTCTTCCAGGCTGTGTGATGCAGACATGTGCTCACAGCCTGCTGGGATCAGCCATCCTGCACCAACCAGGCACCCAAAGGAAAAAGAGCTTGGGGTGGTTGGTGCTTGGCTGATGCTCCAGCCAGCCACTAATTTGCTCACCTCGGGTGTGCTCACTCCAAATGCCACTTGGAACCAGAGAGGTCATTTCCAGGGAGCCTGAAATTAAAATATGGATGCTGGGCAGGCTCCTGTGCCAGGTGTGGGCTTTATTAAATGCTGGGGGAGAGGAGGTGGAGGCGTTTCAGGGCTTTGCAATGGTGGTTTAGTCCAGCTCACCTGTGCCCCTGGGCTTCTCACAAGCTTTGCTGGGAGGAAAATACCTGTTTTAGTAGCTGAAGCACCCAGAGAACATTCTGAACAATCCAGCAACTTGGGGAGGGGGTTGGGAGTTTGAGGGGAAGATTTACTCTTCCAAAATATCTGTGTTAGGCAGCAGCAAAAGTTGTCTTGGGAACAGATGGATTTGGCAGAATTAAGTAGAAATAGCTTGTCCTGGGAAGGGAAGTTGGCCTCATCCCATGAGATATGTAAGGATAGATGTGTGCAATAAAAATATATAAAGATGGCTCTGGAAGTTTGTGTGTGTAAAACAGCTCCCCTGCCTGGCTGCTCCTGCTGCAATAACCTGCAGTTAGTTTTGCTGTCCCTTGGCTATTTCTAAGCTCCCAAGGAAGCCCCAGGTTTTCCTGCACCCTGCCCATTTGCTGCCAGACCCTTTGTGGGTTTCCAGCAATTCATGCCATACTGAGGTGCTTTTGAAGGATCAGCAGTCTCCCCCTTGACCTACCCAGATCTGTAACTCTTTAGTGACTCCTAGTTTGCTTTGCCACTGATTTATCCTCTTGGCAGAGATTTTTTTCTGAGTGCTCTCATCATCAAATTGCAGACTTGAATATTGCCTCTGAGCTGGCCAAGTGGGGTGTTTTTCCCAGGTGGACAGGCTGTTTGTTGGTAGTCCTTTTTCCATGTTATAAAGGTGTAGTTGCTTTCAAATGGGAATTTGGGATGCACGTCACAGGTAGGGGAGGTCTCTGTGTGTGTGTGGTGGCTGTGCCCTGTGTGGGCACAGAGTGGGACCCCTGTGTTCTCTGTCTTGGACCATGTTTTTAGAAGCTGCTCTGAAACCTGTGAGTTGCAACTTTTATCCTGTTCTGCTTTCAAACAGCTCCCAATGCCCAGAAAAGCATTCCATGTCTTAGAGTGCTGTAGATGGTCCTACAGCTCAGCCTTTGGTGACCTTCCTCTCCTCCCCCTGTCCTCTCCTGGGTTTATTTCAGGAAGGTTCCATCAATCCAAGCTCCCTCCCTGGGGCTGCTCATTTTGGGGGTCTAACACATACCAGGGGTTTCCCTGTCAGGGTGGTGGCTGTGAATGGCAGAGGGGGAGGCCAGACAAGGTCACTCTGGGTGCTGCCCTCCTGGTTTCTGCTGCTCATTTCTGTGGGAAAAGTTCCTTGGAAATGAGCATTTGTGCTGGAAAAGGGGATGCTCCCAACCTGGGAATAGCAATCAGAGTCTGCCAAGGCTCACTCCATGTGTGTGCCGGGAGACAGATGAGCACTAGTTAAAATATTTACAAGATCATGCATTCCCATCCTTTGTGGGAATAAAGAGCAGTGATCCCTGCTCTGCCAATGCCTCCAGGGTGCCCCTATCCCAGCACCTGTATCTGCTGATGTGCTCTGCTCCATTTCCTGCTGGCTCTCGGGCTGTTCA